CCTGCTGACCTCTAAACAGTACTGGGGAAATCTGATGCTATTCAAAGGGTGGTTTGGCTTCCTGCTATTCTTTGATCAGCCCTGGAGATTCTCAGGGGTGCTCAAGTAACAGTACAAATTCCTTCTGTCCCTTTTAACAATCCTGAGGCTCCTTGGAACTGTTTAAGGGGCGCTGTGAATTCCCAGCGATGGTGCCACCCTCACAGGGCAGCGGGGAAAGGGGAGAGGCTGTGGCTACTGCTTTTCAGCAGCTGCCAGGTGCTCACAGACAGCCTGTTTCCCTGCACTCTGCCCTACCATCAGGGGGGGGAAGGGGCTGTTCCTCAGTTGGAGGAAAGGTTTCACAGGTCTTTTACTACAGATTTACAGGCATTTAACTAATTTGTATTGTAGGGGTATAACAACAGTAAGGCTGTCACATTGGAGGCATCATTTACACCAGACTCCCAGTTCATCATGATTGGTAAGAGATTCTTATGCCATTGACCTGTCATTTTTATTACAAAGTAATTTCAGTGCCTTGAAACTGGGGATTGAAATCTTCTCCAAATTGTTTAATGGCAGGTTATTTAGGGCTGATAAAATGTTTTCACTTTGTTGGGAGTTCTAAGGTGCTCAAAATTCTGCCATGTCAATATAATTTATTGTAAAACTTATTTTGATAGGTCTCAGCCTGCTTCTGAGATGTCAAATGTTTGTGTCTCATTCTTTCTATAGCTGAGATGTTGGCAACCATTTTTAATAGACTTGGTCAAACAAAGCATTTAATAGGCAATACAGTGAATTCCTTCCTTACCCCCAAAATTCTTCAAGAAATATAACTTCTCCCATTGAAATATAACCTAGTAGGCAAAGTGACTTCATCCTTTCTGTGTTCACATTCTTTCTAAAGATCCTCTTTATACTACACGAAGCTGTTTAATTACTGGTAGGCATGTGGAGGAGGTACTTCTGGGTTATTTGTATATTTCACACGTGACATTATTACATTATACTATTCTACCTGACCAGTTAACTCCTTGACTGCTTTTCATATTGTCAGCAGCCCCTAATATCTTCTTTTAAATTTTCTTTTAGGTGTGGTTCTAATCTGCCTAGGTCCAGTATACCAATATTAAATGAGCTGGCAGTCAGTAACCCAAACCCTTGGTTTTCCTGAAATAAAGGTGTTAAATGCAAAGTGCAATGTCCATCTCTCCTGACAGACTTTCTTATGGCAGTTTTGCACTCTAAAAGAAAAATAAGACATCTAAACTGACCTAGCAGGCCCTCATATTATCCTCTAGACTAGAGCCATGGTTTTCAACCTTTTTTCATTTGTGGACCCCTAAAAATTTTTGAATGGGGGTGCAGACCTCCTTTGAATTGTAGGTGTGGATATTCACATACTTTTTATTGATCATAGTTATCTTTCGTGGACTCCTTAGGCATTGTTTGTGGATATTGAAAACCACTTCTCTAGAGGATATACAACTCTGCGGACTTCCCCATCTATTTTTCTAATTACGTTAATAGCCTACTTAATTCTCTTCCCGTTGGGCAGATTTGTTTTTTCATTCAGTTTTGTCCCGATGACGATCGTTCTGTTTTGAAACGTTTTCCAAAAATGAATGTTTTTCTGTTTTACATTGTGAGGTAATGTGAATTCCAGTTTCTTCTTCATTGCAAAGGCCTATACAGATAACACAGAACTGGAACAGCCCCTTATTTTGTAAGAACTATTTAAAAGACCAGAATTTTATTTAAAGGTGGCTAAATTTAGATAAGTCAATTTAATAAAGTTCAATTCTTGGGGTTTAAAAGGTTTCGAGAATGTGTTACATCTGTCCACACCCCCAGATGCACATGGGAGGGCATAAGAGTCGGGATTAAGGGTCTCAAGTGGACTTGCACTGTAAAAATATGCTAATGATATGAAGAACTGAATTTTTTTAACAAGCTTTACCACTTGCATTTACTGTAACTTATTTTTCAATTCCTAAATGGCATTTCTGGTACCAGATAATTTAGTAAACTATATACAGATGTACATATATACATTTTTGTTTTCATTCTGTACATAATTAGTGAGAGGCTTATCTTGCTCAGTGAGTAAATTGGAAATGCGTAGCCTGTTACATATTTTCAGAGGGGCTCTTGCTTGGGCATTAGTCTTTCTTGAATACATTTTCAGGTAGTCCTAGTTCTAGGTTCTAGAGGGGGAGTTTCCAGTTCCTCAGACTGAGATCTTACCATTGTACTCTATTATCCCCTGCCTATCTTCAAGCTGTGTCCTTCTCCACCCCCTCTCCTGTCGCAGTAAGCTGCCACTGGCTCAACTTTTAGAGAGACTTTATTTTTTGTGGTTTTGAAGTCATATGCAACAAAGTAGACAGTCTTAGTTAAACAATGCTGCAATATGGCTAGACCTGAGGATGGGCACTTTGTGCCCAAAAGCTTGTCTAGCATCTCTCAGAACTATACAGTTGGTCCTGTAAAAGATGCTGCTAAAACACCCTTTTGTTGCTTAAACAAGACAACATTTAATGGTAAACTGCAATATAGCCTGCAGAGAGTCTGTTGGAATTTCTAGACCAGAGATGTCAAAATTCTTTGCTCCCCCATCTGGTCAGATCTGGATGCACCTTTAGTAGCAAGAGGAGTGGTGGCAGTGTTAACTGCTGTAGAGTCTTGAGCCACAGTGTCAGCTCAGGGAGCCACAGGAATTAATGTACTTGTTGCTTCCCTTGCTGCCACTGAAACGCATCCCCAGTAGGGCTTCATACTCCAGCCTGGTGGTGGACCCTGCCTTGAAATTCCCTGCCCCAGCAGGAGACCAAAACCTTAAGCAAGTTTAAGTCAGCCAGGCTATGCTGTCTTTGCTTGAGATTTTCAGTCCTGACTCTTGTGCCTTCCCATGTGCATCTGGGGGTGTGGACAGATGTAACACTTAAACAGATGTAACACATTCTAGAAACACTTTAAACCCCAAGAATTTAGATGTGTGCACCATGTAAGAGTGGTTTAAACTTCCTGGGATGTTTCAAAAGCATACTGGAAAAATAAAGTGCTGTTTTGAGCCGATCGTCTGTGAATCCGTTCCATGTTAGGTGGGGACACCAAACATTCCGTGCCTAGTGTCTTGGCAGTCCTTCCAGGCACCCCCTCAGCACCTGAAACTTTTCACCCTCCACCACAATCCTGCCCCAAAAGAGCCTGGGACTCCAGAGTAGGGATGGGGTCCAGGCTGTTTCCTTCTCACAGATGCACATCTGTGCACCCCCAGGTAACCACAACAATTTTTGGTAAAGTGTAACAGTGTTCTTATTAAACTCAGTCTTTTTTAATCCAGTGTTTTTGAGAAGGGGGAGCAGAAAATTGCAATTGTGGGCAATGAGGTCTTCCTCTTTCTTGGTGTCCAGCCAATTCGGGTCTTCCTTCCCTTCTAGCAGAAACTGGGCACTGACCCCTGGAAAGCATAATGGTCTGGGTACTCTACCACTCCCCGGTGGCATTTCAGCAGCAGTGCAGTCCCTAAAAGGTGACAGTCCTTGGAACCCTTGGCATTGTATGTTTGGACACCTTTGTCCAGGAACAGTTTTGAACCAGTTCCCAATCAGTGACATTTTTAGAATGAGTCAGTTGTTGTGTCTGTTCACACCCTGGGAGTCTGTCAGCGAGTTCTAAAGGGAATGTGCGTGTGGTGCTTTGATGGCTTCCCTGGGACAGCAGGGGATATTCAGGTTGTGAAGTCTGAATTCAGTGGTGTTTTGTTAAGCCTTTACTGGTCCCCTATATCCTTAATGGCTTATTCTGTAGTAACCGAGACAGTTGCTTGCAGAAACCTACCTTTTCTTCTAGGTCTTATCCAGGTCAAAATTAACTTATTCTTCCTTGGTATATAATGGCATACAGTCAACTAAGGGAAACTGAGGCATCCTCTACTATCATAAAAATATTTTATAACAGCAGGGCTGTTCAACTTCTGAGAGGTTGTGGCTGAATGCCCTGTGGGCAGCACCAGCAGTGGCTGTCATGAGCTTTGGGCCCCATGGCCACACACCATGCCAATGCAACCCCACCCCCACTACTGCACTGTGCTCCTGTGCTCCCTCTCTCTCCCCAACACTGCTGCATCATGCACCTGCATGCTATCCGCCCCCCCCCCCCCCCCCCCCGGCTGCACCAGGTGCTTGTGGGACTCGCCAGTCTAAGCCATGGGCTGCAAAAATGCACCCTTCCCCCCTGCCATTACTGCCCAGTCCTGTCCCCTGTCCCCCCCCACACTGCTGGTACAGCATCTCTGTGGCCCCTCCTCCCTCCCCCAGCTGCACTGCACACCTGCCTAGGTGCTCACCCCACCCCACTGTTACACTAAGCATCCTTACCTCTCCAGGCCCCACAGTGAAAGTCAGAGGAGGGAAGTACAGCCTGGAGACTCCATCTGCTGTCATAACAAAAGCAATGGAGGGGTGTATGAGTCGGTGTCCAGGGTCTGCACCGCAACTTAATCCTTTGCAGGCTGTATGTGACCCACAGGCTGTCAGTTGAACCGCCTTGTCATAAAAGTATAATTAAGAAAAACTTACAAGAGTACCATGGTCTGTCAAGCAGACAAATACAGTATCTTGTCTACAAAGGAGATGCATAGTTAAATGTGCAGTCTGCTGAAAACCAGGCCAGCATTGCCTTCAGACTCCCAAATTATAATGAGCTAGTTCTTCAGATGCCATTTGATTTTTTTTTTTTTTTTCTGTTACTAAGTTGCACTTCTAAAATGGTTTTTATTCTCTGATCTTGGTGTGTGAGCCATCAGTGTGCGTTACAAACGCAATTTCCTTATTTGGCCTACTTAACATGAACTATCCTCTCCTGGTTGAGAGGGCTTTTTAATTTAGTTCATGTGAGATTTAAGTATATGTAGGATTATTCTAACTGAATGGATATACTCTCTACTGATAGTTTGTCCCTACATGAAGAGGCAACAAATTCTCATTTCAGACTTTTGAGTCTGAACCTCATTAATATGCAGTGCCTCAATAGAATGACCATAGTGTTTTAAAAAAATCTAACAGTTTGAATGCTTCTTGTGTAGGTCCTCTTAGATGTCTAAATTGCAGTCTAGTACTGATCTGTTCTGTTCCTAGTTGGTATTTCATATATGTGTTTGTCATCTTCAACCTGTAGGTTCTGAGGATGGAAAGATCCATGTCTGGAATGGGGAGAGTGGGATGAAGGTGGCTGTATTGGATGGTAAACACACAGGTCCTATAACCTGTCTGCAATTCAATCCTAAATTCATGACCTTTGCCAGTGCATGTTCCAATATGGTAAGAAAATGCATGCTTTTTTCCCCATAAATCAGTGCGCCATGATCAGTATTAGGGTAGTTTCTCTTTCCCATTCTATTCTCTTTGAAGAGTTCAGTTCAAAGGGCTTAAAAATCAATCACAGGTCCATTGTTGGGAAATATACAGAAGGCAGAGAGCTGGTAAACTCGGCAAATACTTCCCTTTTCACAGTCCCTGGTCCAGAGGTAATGGTGGAGGAGGAAAGGGAAAAAATGAGGGGACGACTGGATTTCTTCCTAGGGACTCATCCTTTGCTTAGATGCTTCCTTAGGCTGAGGAAGAGCTGGATAAACCTCTGTATTGCCCTTCCTAAGGCTCGTACAATTTGGCAGATTGCTTGTAAGAGAGATGCCGGGGACGGAAGGGAATAGAATATGTACTGATCCACTGAGAAGGAGGAGTTAATATGCATGCATGCAGGCAACTGTGCTCTTTTAGTCTGGTCTCATATGACTGATGTGAAACTCCAGTACAAACACTAGAAGATTTACAGTCCTGTTCAAGGCCACTGTTAAAACCTTACTGGAAAATGTAGAGAAGTGAAGATAGTGATATAAGTAGGCTCAACCAGCTGCTTTTTACTGTATTAAAATAGGAGCGAGTAGGCAAAGCTAGTGTTGCACATCCCAAACAAAGCCAGTCCAGGCAAGGATTCTCATACTCTATTGCTAGCTGTCCTTACCAGCCTCCTTGGTCATTTTTAACAGTCAGTGCTCCCTGAAGTAGGTGGGATAAATTCCAGATTTCAGCTGCGTAAGGAATTCTTCCTTCATGTTTGCATGTCTTCTCTTTTTTTCAGGCATTTTGGTTGCCAACCATAGATGACTAATTCTGAAATGAGAACCGCCATTGTGTGATTTTCATACTGTAAATTGCAGCATATTCTTGAAGAGATAGTATTGGAATTGCCTTGTTCTCCTGGACCTTTCGTGTTTGTCTTGAAACTTTTCAATTGCTGCATTGCTTCACAAGGACCCCCTCCATTTTGACCTTCTGCAGTCTGATTATACCATATTCAGAAGCTGTGTGAAACACCTTATGTTCCTGCTTTCCAACTATTGCTCAGCAGGTTTAAGTTGAACCTGTAACTGACACAGTGTTACTTTTGAGAAAGTGAGAGTGGAACCATGGAATCTAATTTGTGAAAGGTTTGCTGCAGTCTTTAAGGCATAATAGTGTGTTCTCTTTTCTTCCTGTAAACACACAAGGTTATTGATGTTCTGGGGTGGGACGTCCATTACCATCTTGCACTGCATGTTTTATAATATGTGAAATCTCTACAGTATCGCCCAAAACTTTTGTGCCAAATGCAAACAGACTCACAGTTTTTTAAACTCAAACGTTAATGCAGAGTGCTTTTTGTTATCAAACACTTGTCCAGTAGAAGTGCATGTCTGCGTGAATGCATCACTGCACCCATCACCATGTTATGGTGCTCTAGTGTCTGGCAAACCATAAAGGTTTTGCCCACTGGCAGAGAGAGCCTGAAGCTTCCTTTCTGCCTTGTTCATAATCCAGGGCTCTCAGAGTATTGAAGAGTGTCCCAAGCAATAAAGAAAGCTGTCACCAGGAAGATGATGAAACAGTAGTTTTCTCTTGCATCATCTTTCTGTATCATGCTGGTTGATCTTATTTGTAAATATTGGGGGGGGGGGGGGGTCATATTTTTTTACTTTTAGATATTAGAGTATGATGTGGGCCGGTGTTGTGGATTGAGTCCAGGCTCTTTAACCTTTCTTGTTGAACCTTTGCAGTTTTCTCCTCCAGTTCTGTAAATAAACTCCATTAAATTCTCCCCCAAACAAGGACCCAGCCCTGCATCCCTTTTATTAATAAACTTTCCACAGAAGTGTTTATTCTATCAAGCATTTCAGACTGTATGTGTTTTCAGCAGTTGTAAGAGACACAGTAGCTCTTATGTAAGTCATAGCGGTGTTGTTCCAAGAATGTCCCTGTATGAGACGGGGTGCGTGTCTGTGGTTCTTCCTTTTGGGCAATACACAAAGTAAAGAAACCAACTGCTGTCATTGTTCCATTTATCTTTTTTTCTAAAACATTGTATTGTAAAATTGGTTAGGTGCATATTTTAGTAGCACGTGGCAAAAAACACTGTTTACATGGAGCTCCACAATGGACTCTGGTCTTACCAAATGCTTTTGAGACTTAGAGGAACATTGACTTGGAAAACTCCCCCCAGAATGAAAGAAATTGGTAAGGTGGCACTCTGAACAGAGAGTAGGCACATTCTGCCTGTTGTTTTCAGTGCTGTCTCAGGCTTGAAAACAATCCTGTTTATGTATTACTCCTTTAGCAATATTCTATGGTGTGGTAAAGTTGTAATATCCACTGTGGGATTTAAATATAAATCAGTGTGTGTCCTCTTGGAAAGCTTATATATATGGCTTGCACATCTACTCTACTCTTGCTTTTGTTACAACTGTTAGAATAACACACATCTTTAGGCAAGGAATAGAGCTGTAGCACAAGTTTCTCATCATTTCCCATCCCTTTGAAGTATTTGTGCATGTTGAGCTACTGCTTTATCTGTGACAGGCACTCTGTGCATCGTCAAAACTACTGCTGTGCATGAGAGTCTAAAAATTACGTGTGTGAATCTATGCTATGACTAAAAATGTTACTTAGCCTTTGTGGTTTGCCCCTCTGCTAATTGTACTGTACACATTTTAAAGCCATCTTCATGTTGAATTCTGTGTTTGAATTAGGCTGTTACTCAAATTGGGCTGATGGACTTTTATCTTGCCAAACGCTTGTTCTGCAGGACTTGCAAGTTGAAGATTCCTTTATACAGATAACAACAGCATCTCTCCTGACATACCACTCTCCTTTTACTTTAAAATGCCAAGGATACACCTCATATATGACTGGGCTTCTGCAACCATTTATTAAGTTCCTTAATGTTTCATTTGAAGCTGTGTAGGCTACAGCAGTGTTGTTGATGATTCTGCGAACTGCTGTATCTTGCAGGGGTAGTTGGTTGTTTAAAGCAATAAGAAAGAATCAAGATTTTAACTTGGTGTTAGCCACAAAAGGTCTTTCAGGATTCTGTAATGGTCTGTATCTTTTTCATGATCAGATTTTCTTTGGGCAGGGAGTGTTGGGTAGGGTTGGAGAGTTGTAGCCACAATATCCCAGGAAATGTGTAAAGATTTTTTGATAATATCTTTTACTGGACCAATTGTACAGTTGAGTAATTAGGTTAACTAATAATCAAGGATCCAGGCTTTCTGTTCACTGTGGAAAAACATTTTTTTCTCATTTTGGGAAAAATGCAGATTTTGTCCCTTAAAGGAAAAAAACACAGGAAACAGCGGGTTTCCCCTTGCAGACCTGCAGTGTTCCAGCCTGCAAGGGGCTGGGGGGAGCGGGAGGAGGGCAATCAGGCATGGGGTGCCATGTGCATGTGCGCGTGCACACGTGCATGTGGTAGCCAGGCAGTGTAGGGAGCAGCTCCTCGCAGATAACTTGGGGGGGGGGGGTATTGAGGCCCCCATAGTGAAGGAGGGAGTTGGGCAGGGCTGAGGGTGCTGCCCAGCTGGGGTCGTGTGTGGTGTTTTGGGTCCAAGGCTGGGATGGGAATGCATGGCCGTGGTGGGGAACTAGATGGAGCAGGGGGCAGTGAGGGAGCTGGCTCCCTGCCACTGTACACTCCCAGGAGGGCATGTACTCCCCTAATTTGTTTGTGGGATGGGGGCACATGCAGACCAGGGGCACAGCCTCCTGTCCCACCCCCAAAGTGCCTGAGCCCTGGTTGCCACCCATGGGAGGTGGCAGCTCCTGTGGCCTGAGCAGAGCACATAACCCAGCTCCCCATCCCCCAGGGATAGCAGAGTTGGAGTGCAGTGCGTGGGGTGGGGGGCAGATGTGAACTGGCAGCTGTGGGCTTCCCTCCCTGCTGCCCTCCTCCTGTGGGCTTCTGACCAGAACCTGGCGTAGCCTCCATGCCCTGCTGTCCTGCTGTCGCCATGGCAAGGCACCCCATGCCTGCCCAGCAGAAGCCGGGGTGGTGGCATGGAGCTGTTACCCGCTGCTGCCATCTGAGCAGGGGATGTCTCACCATGACAGTGTGGGACTCCTGGACACGGCACCAAGCCTCTCCGCTCTGCCCTGATGCACTAGGTCCCATCCACCAAGCTGTGGAGACCCCTGGGGGATGGGCAGCAGGACAGGGAGCGCCAAGGCCACAGCTGCCTGCAGCCTTCCCCTGCGGGCTCTGCTCCAGCCATGCCACCCCTGGGGGGAGGGGGATGCAGATTCCGTGCTCCACGTGGGCCACAGTAGTCTCTGCCTCCCACAGACAGCACCTGGGGCTCAGGCGTTGCTGAGGGGAGGTAGGGGGCTGCAGACTTAAGTCCCTGACCCCATAGTCCTGGCAGCTGAGGGCCCCCTCTGACAGGGCTGAGGGGGGATGTGGGGGGAGGGGAGCGAGGGGCACTGATAGAGCTGGGGGTGTTATGGGTGGGAAGTAAAGGGCACCAGTGGGGGGCACTGGCATGTCAGGGCTGCTTAGCACCAGAAAACAGTGGGAGGGGGACAGCTGCAGCTGGACCTGCGTCTTGGTGAACAAAGGGGGCAGGAGCAGCTCTGATTTTTCCATGAAAAAACCCAAAATCAAATGCCAAAATGTATAAGTATTTAGAATTTATTTTATTATAGTGATTGAGACACTGGTAGGCTTCCAAATTGCCTTAAAACTGTAAATATATCAATAAGATATTATTCAACTGATACCTATATATCATAGAAAGTTAGGGTTGGAAGAGACCTCAGGGGGTCATCTAATCCAACCCTCTGCTCAAAGCAGAACCAGCCCCAACTAAATCATCCCAGCCAAAGTTTTGTCTAGCCAGGTCTTAAAGCTCCAAGGATGGAGCTTCCACCACCTCTCTGGGTAACCTGTTCCAGTGTTTTACTACCCTCCTAGTGAGAAAATTCTTCCTAATGTCTAACCTAAACTTCCCTTGCTGCAACTTGAGACTGTTGCTCCTTGTTCTGTTATCTGCCACCACTGAGAATCCCTCTCAGTCTTCTGTTCTCTAGACTAAATAAGCCCAGTTCCCCGGTCTCTCCTTAAGTCATGTGCTCCAGCCCCAAACCATTTTTGTTCCCCTCCGCTGGACTCTCTCCAATTTGTCCACACACTTTCTGTAATGGGGGGGCTGTAGCAGGGGGACCTTCTCGGAGCCGACTTCCCAGTTATGGGCCAACTGCCCACCTTCTTTCCTGCCATGCCTTGTTGGTAATTAGTTAAATGATGTAATTAAGTGGAAGGCTGCCCATTTCCTGCCCCGATGCCAGGGGGCGCTATCTGTGGCTCCATTCCTCCCCTACACCGCAGCCCAAGCCTCGCAGATGGTATTTGTAAATTCCTCTTTATGTTGGGGTCTAGGCCACTGTGGGCCTACCCCTTTTTTTCTCTCTCTCTTTCTAGCTAGGCCTGTCAGTCAAAAACAAAACAAAACCAAACAACCCACTAATCAGGGTTTGACTCCCAGGCTCTAGCTCTCAAAAAAACCCCAACAAACCCTCACTTGGGCTCCTGCCCCTCTGTGGCACTGGGGTCTGCTCACCCCCAAATACTGTGCCCTTTCTGGCACTGGGGTCCCCACACTGCAGTGGGCCCCCAGTGAGGCCTCCTCCTCCCCAAATAGCCTCACCCAAACCACCGGTGTTAACATTGAACATGGGAGGCAACATGCCTGCTTACTTTAGATGATCGTGAGAATGGCTCCGGGCATGGTGTAGTCTTCCGACAGAGACTGCAGCCACAGCACCATAGTCATTGGGAGTCCACCTCCCTGCTGCCCCTCTGGCCTTCTTCACTTGCCATTTGTAGGGTCCTGGCCTTCCTCTTCCTGTCACCTGACCAGCTGGCAGGGCTTGAGCCTTACCCCTACTTGACCGGCTGGCCGTGACTGGCACGTTCTGGACTTAAAGGGGCACCCTGTCTCTTAGTAACAGGGTTAGGGTTCCCTGTTACAAGGGTGTTTCATTATATACAGGGTGTTTATTAAAGTCCTTGTGCAGCTTTTAAAGGTTAATAACTTTGGATGTACATATGATAGAAACCAACTGTAAACGCCAACTGAACGCATAATTCATTAAGTTTTAACACAATACAGTTCAAATTCTAGACTTCAACGTAACTGCCATCTTTCATGATACGTTGTTCAATCTGATTTTCCAACTCCATAGAAAATATTTTCCAGTTGCTGCTGAGTGATTTCATGAATTGCATGTGTTATCCTTACCCTATGCATAGCTTACACTATGCTAAAAAATGTAATGAATTATGCGTTCAGTTGCTGTTTACGGTTTGCTTCCGTCATTTGTATATCCTAAGTCATTAAACTTTAAAATTGCACAAGGGCTTTTATAAACACCCTGTATATATAGATACAGGTATAGTTAGATATATAGATTATAGTGTCATTTCAGTTTAATTGTGGAAAAATGTGGATTTTGGTATTTTTAATCAGTATTTGCAATTTTTTTTCGGAGAATTGGCCATTTTTAACAGAAAACCAGGATGCCTGCTAATAATTCAAATGTAGCTAAGCTAATTATTCAGCTGTACTTCCTCTTATTTTGAAAATGTTTCTGATAACTTTTCTTTGCTTCACAGTTTTACAGCCATTTCCTTAAGTGGCTGTTTTCATACATGGAGTTAAACAGAAGCCATTGTTTTATCTGGTATTTATGGTAGCTTAAGCTATTCCTGCTTCTCTCCCAGACCTGAGGAAGGGCATGCTGTGCCCAAAAAGCTTGTCTAGCATCTTTCCCAGCTATACAGGTGGTCCGATAATTGCCAAAAAATCTTGCTTCTTAGGCAGGGCCCACACTTTTTA